CTATATTCCCTTTATGCTTCTCCTACAATTCCATCCCCTTTACAGGGCACCTCTAACCTCAGCATAAACTCTAGGTAAAGTGCCTCCCCAACAGCTGTTAAGGTAATAAGACAATTTCTGCCTGGACTTTTGGTCATAAAATCGCCATAATGAAAGTTCAATAAATGTTCAAGCGGCTAACCCCTGGGTGCGGGGCTGGCGCAAAACACTAAAATCCAAGGCCAAATGTGCGTTCAAACAGTGCAACATTTTGGCCGTGGGCAGGAGTAATAAAGTCAACTTAATTATAACAAAAACTAAGAGAAAGTAAGAGAAAAGGTGGGGCCTTTGGGTAACGACTAACTTTTGTGTAGAGCTTTTGTTTTCTTAATGAGTTGTGGCATCAACAACAGCAGCAGCAACAACTGAAACTACGGGGCCAACAAAAAACAACAAACAAGCAAGAACAACAACCATTTCATAAACTTGGCCAAAATGCATTTAAGCTGCAAGACAAGAAGCCAGAGTGGAGGGTGGAGGGTGGAGGCGGGGCACTGTGCATATGTTGCGTAGCGTAAGCACGTTAGTGTTGTTAACGTTACGTTACGGCATAACAGAAAGTGGAACAGAGGAGGAGGATGGCGAGATCTGGCAGCAGCAACAATGGCAGCAGCGACAGCAGCTGCAGTGGCAACAATGCCAGAACAAACGACGCGTCGGATAACGGAAACGGAAGTTGCTTACAAGCGTAGTAAGAGTCTTACAGCAGCAGCAGATGAACAGAACGAGTGGCATACAGAACAGAGAAGAGAGCCAATAAGGGAGCGAATAGAGAGGAACACTAGACAGCGAGAGAGAGAGAGAGATATCCTAATGGCTTAAGCTTTAAAATGTGTTGCGTACTTTATGGCCCGTACTTTCGCCCTTTCATCTTTCCCCCTGCAAGATTTTTGCATAGAAATTTTCATCCGTCCGACGATTTTAAGGGGGAGAATGGTAGTGGCTAAAGCCGGAAACGGCATGGCAAAGCATCGAAAATGCAAATGATGCTTATTGGAAATGGTTTCTCAGATAAGAGACGGCGACACAGAGAGCCTTGGCACAGTTCTCAGCAACGCGAATTTCAGAAGGATTCATGCAGCTCTTTAAGGATAAGGTTCACCCATCATCTGCTATAAATCATCAAAAGTGGCCGCACAAAAACTGGTAGGGAGTTTCCTAGAACACATTGTCAACTCCATTGCTGGCAGCAAACTTTTCATAGTTGCCACACAACTTGCATATCTCTGTGGCGGCAGGCAGGCTGGCTGGCAGGCAAGCAAAAAAGTTGCACCACACAATTTTCTGTCCAATCAACTGTAAGCCATATTTTAATGGCATTCCACGCCACACGTCTCTGTGTGTGTGCTCTGTCTACTGTCTGTGTTTTTGTTTGTTTATTTGATATACTCACACACACATATACTCAGACATAATCTACTATCCACACACAAACAAAGACACGCTCAGCCACCCACATGAGGAGATACAAATAAAGATATAGGAGATGGCAGGAGGGACATCCACTCCATATTAAACAGACGCTGAAAAAATATTTACAAAATTCATTTATTATTATCATTGCACTGTTTTCCAGCGATCGGACCCGCTGTCCGATGATTGGTTGGTTGAACAAAAAAAGATTAATGCCATTGATGTATGCTTTTGTGATACCCTTTCTGCAAGAGGAGAAATTCAAGGAGAGATAAGAGGAGACAAAGTGACAAAGAACGAGGTTCAAAGTAAAAGTATAGGCAGTGCCTTAAGGACAGAGAAATAAATATCCCTTAACAATTGATTACCTTCATACTTCTGTGAAAGGGTATTTATATTTCCAACCCCTCATAACCATTTTATACTTTTTGTAACGTGACAGTCTCTTTTTCCCCTCTATAAATCCATCTCTTTGTGTGCCTGTGTGTCTGCATTTAATTAAGTTTTGTCGGTCTTCAAGTGTCTCTGTCGCGCTGCCCTCTCTCTTTCTCCCTCTCTGATTACGCTGATAATTTTCGTATTTAAAAAATATATCTATATATATTTTTGTTGTGCCATAAATACTTTTTCCTTTCTCTTATGTGCCTCGTGTTTTGCATAAAATATTTATGGCATTAAATTGAGCGTTAAAGAAGAGTATAAAATTTTGTTTTTTTAAATGGAATATTTCTGCCAATTTCTGCGGTGGGATTTATCGCCTGATAAACTCTTTTAATATGCTCAACCATAGAGGAATTTTCGCCATAAGGGAATTCGTATTTTATGGAATAGAAGTATGGAAAAAATGCAATATTTGTGGGTGATATAAATATGTGATGAATACTTGATAATTCAATGCATGATGGTAGAGGGTATAATTGAATTGGGAAAATCATTGAATAGCCATTTGGGAGCAGCATCAAAGAGGTGTATCGTTTTGATGTATCGCTTTCATGATCCAAATATAGTTATCAATAAAGAAAAAACCTCTCCTTAAAAAATCACCATTCTGTTTTGTTTTCCCTAGATTTCCCGAAAGAAGAACTTTATTGTGGTATATGTAATATGTAACATTATCTCTTAAAAATAGCCATGTCATTGCTTGTCGTTGTGTCAAATAAATTATGTTTATAGAATGCGATTAAATACTGGATTAAATGTTTGGTGGGTTGATTAAATATTTCATAGATAGGTTATAGATTGATAGTTTATGGTTTGATTTTTTATAGCTTCATTTTCATCTCCTCTAACATTCGATAGACCTTGAGGAACTTCTTTTCTACCACCTCCGTGAAGGCCTTGATCTCATTCCGCACCACGGACAACTCGAGGGCCGCATCGGAGCTGCTGGCATCGCACTTTTTGGATGTTTTATCGCTCTCATACCAACAGGCAATGCCATCCACATAATCGTCAACCAATTCGGGTGCCGTGAGGTCCTCCATGAAGGAGAGATCCTTTCGCTTGACAAAGGAACTCATCAACAGCTGCAGAAAATCGCAGTTCCAGTTGTTCTGCTGAAAGTAGAAATACTGCAGGGCCTTCAAACTGTCGAAGAGTGTGATCTTCAGCGAGTATATCGAATTGCCTGATATGTCGAGCATCTGGAGATTCGTTTGCTTCTTCAGTACACCCTCGGGCAGCTCATGGGCATTGGTTGTGGAGAGATTGAGTCGCAGCAGAGCTGTGAAGCGCCTCAGAGGATTCCCTTGAAGATTGCCCAGCGGATTCTGCGACAAGTCCAAGCTCGTCACATTGATAGCCTGCGGTATGTGGGGCACCTCTCTTAGCGAATTGTTGTGCAAATCAAGCTCCCGCACTATCCCATAGACTGTTAGTCGCCTCAAATCGCAGCTGTGTGCCACTGCCAGCTCCAGGAGACTGAAATTCAGCGTTAGCTCCTGGATAATGTTGCCCGAGATGTCGAGGAGGGACAGACGCGGCTGCAGCTTCAGCAGTTCCGACTCAAAGGCCGTGAAACGATTGCGAGCCAGGTTGATTCTCGTTAGATTCAAGTTCTTATCAAAGATGCCACGAGGCAGTGCCTCCAGGCGATTGCCAGCCAGATTTAGGTCCATTAGCTTTCGCATGCCACCGAAGAGCCCGAGAGGCAGCTGCTCCAGTAGATTGTCTGCCAGGGAGAGCTCCTTCAGCTCCTTGAGGGCATGAAAACTGTGATTCGATAGATGTTTCAGCTGATTCGCCTGGAGATGCAACGTGGCCAGATTATCCGCTCCCAGGAATATATTCTTGGGTATATCCTTGAGACGATTGAGGCCCAGAAAGAGGCTCATCAGATTGCTGGCGCCCTCGAACTGCGGCTTCTCGAATGTCTCCAGCGAACAGTTCTCCATGCGGAGCATCTGCAGATCCGGAAATGTATCAAACAGCAGATGCGGTATCTTGGCAATGCTCGAATTGATGAACGTCAGCATCAGTTGATTGGGGATGGGTGCCTGCGACAGAATCACATAATCACTGCGTCCAATCTCCACATTTGTGCAGATGCCCGCATGGCAGTGATCCTGCAGCCAAAGTCGACGCAGCTGTCCGCCCGTTGCCGATGGCGAGGCAGGCTCTGGGGTCACAAGTGGCAGCCAACAAGCCACCACAAGAGGCAGCAGCCTCAGGCAGAGCCACAGCCGCATGGCACCGACACACACAGACACACGCGAGAGACTTTGTACGGGAGAAAGGACACCTAGATTTTTGTTTTTTCGTTGTGTTGGCGTTGGTGAGCGCCCAACGACGCGCACGCCACGGCGCAAGTGGCACAACTGTTCCGTAGATCAGACAACTGTCGCAGTGGTCGACCCCATTGCGATACTGCTCTACTGTTCTGCTGCTATGTGGCATGCCTCGGATGCGGGTGTTGCTTCGACGTACAAACGAAAAAAGGGGTTCGCTTCTCCCACTAATTGTGGATTCATTTTTGTTCTTGCTTCTTGCTATTTTTTGATTTAATTCAATTAAGAGACGACTCTGGGCTGTTCCACACACAAAAACGAATTCTTTGGCATGGGTTGAACTTTCAATTTCATTCGTAATTTCCACTCGTACTAGCACTAGGATTTCTGCATTTGTTTTTTTGGCTTCTGCTTTGTCCACTGATGAAAATGAATGTTTTTTAAAGTAGGAAATGCCAAACAAAAAACAAATACACCGCAAATGGGGGGAGAGCTCACAGTTCTGTGATTTAAATATAGAAAAGGAGATCAGCCATAGCTGAAACGAGAGAGAGAGAGCGCGAGAGCGAGGTAGAAGGGTTCTTCCCAAGCAATGTTATTTTTTGAGTAATGATTGAGATTCGCGGATAAGTAGAACCTTTCCATTAGAACGGGTTCCAAATGCTGACCCACTTTTAAGCAGACACTTCAAATTAATGACCCAAAGATGGCCAACAGTTGATTGAACCACTCCCAAGAACTCTTTTTGGCAGATCTTATCACAAGTTAATTTTTGGGTATAAAACAGACCACACACCAAGCGAAATCAAACAGTTGTCCAGCATGAAGCCAAGTGTGCAAATATTGGGTAAGAAAAGAGAATCAAGCTTCATCCGAAAATATCGAACTGAAACCATTTATTTCCCTAGTTCTTTTGGGTCTTCTTTCCCCGCTGATCGAGGCGCGTCTTTCGGGACTTCGTCGTGTCCATGGCTCTGGTCGCAGTGCCCAGGAGGAACCACAGATTGTGATCTACTCATCCCAGGGGGAACACATCAAGCGATCGGATGATGAAGAGGTTACCTTCCAGGAGCCACAAATTCTCGAAGCAGAGCCCGAGGCAGAAAAGGACAGTCGCAAAGTCCCCGACTATCTCTATTCCAATTCGATTCCCATGGTCAACGATCAGAATGTTAAGTATGTGGTGCCCCAAGTGGCTGCCTATCCCGTGGCCTATGGCCCCTCCATCATCTCCAGTCAGAATCAAAACAAAAACCGAATCAGTCCGGGCCTGTCCTATGTGATGGTTCCACGTGTCCAGCTGGGCTTCAATCTCCAAGGACAATCGGGCTTCAATTGGCCCAACCTGAATCTTCTGAATCCTTCGAATGGCGACTCTGCTGCTGAGAAGGAGGAACCTTTGGGTCCCACTGCCTACATACCCATTCCTGTGCCTGGTCCTCCTGGTCCACCTGGGCCGCCTGGTCCTCCTGGCCAGCGAGGCCCTGTCGGACCCACGGGTCCACGTGGTCCACGCGGCCCCACTGGCGAATCGGCTGTTCATTCTCAGTCCCAGAAACCCTCACACAACACCCCGCAGAGCATTTGGTACACGCAGACGAGCAACAATCATAATAATAAGCCACAATATGCTGAACACTTTTCGAATGGCTATCAAAGTTAAGGCACGAAACGGAATAATGCATTAAATAAATAATAAATAACATTATTTATGTATGTAAAATGTAAAAAATGTAAAAATATTCTACGAATTGTCAAAGAATCGTTCACCTTTGAAACCATTTTCAGATACATTTTCGTGTATATTTTACTTGCAACACGGTTGATTGAAGTTATATGAGGAATCCGAGATACAAAATAGCTTTGTCTTGCTGCACTCAAGGTCAAGTAACGAATGCTAGAAACTATGTATAACAATGATATGTTCTCATACCGTCTACCAAATCCTCCTGCGTATATATAGACACCACAAAACGAGTACAGCTGAACTTTAAGCCAAAAGCACGTTGCATATATTATCTGTCATCTGATATTTGTAGCTGTTGCTGTACACGTATTTGTATCTGCTCTGCCACTGGTATCTGTATCTGTATCTGCTGCTGTAGCTTTAGCTTTAGCTTTAGCTGTGCTCGTATCTGTATCTGTTGCTGTAACGAGTATGTCAAATGGTCAGCAACCATAAAAAGTCGATCCATATGCTCGTGTTTGGTGTCATTTTATGGCACACTCAAAGACACAGAGCCACACATGTGAGGAGAGGAGCGTTATGATGATTGTGTGTAATTTACATGGATTTTAATATCGCTTTGACACCACATACACATCAGACATCATCTAGGGGGGTGGCCACATCTATAGGATACGTATATAGTGCCCCCATTGCTGCCCTCCATTGACGGGCCACTCAATTGGTGGACAACGCGCTAAATGCGCCACCTGACATAATGTTTGTCCTCTCTTTTGCTCGAGCACCGCCACAGAAATAATGGTGTCATGCCGCCCCTCTTGTAGTCTTTTTTGTTTGTTTTGAATTTATTGTCATTTAGTTTTTATTGCTTAGAGACACATATTTATTTTAGTACGACTGAGAGAGTATGATGTATGGTGTGCCATTTTGCCTCAATTGATACGCAGCACGCATTTGTTTCAATTAAATGAAAACGCTTTCAGTGGCAGGCAGACGAGTATGTGTGTGGCGCAGGAAGAGAGCAGTTCCATGGGCCTCACCCGATGATGGATCTTTGCAGGAGCAATTAACCTCTTCTGTGAGTGGTGTTTCTTTTATAAATAAAGATACAGATGGGTAGATAAAGAGAGAAAATGATTGTGCAAAGTAAACCCCAGAGTAAAAAGTAATCAAATGAGTGAAAGAAATTTCGTATCGCCTCTTCCCCTTCTGCGTGTGAATAAAATTTGAATTAAAATATTTGCCAGCACTCAGTCATTCATTCATGAGTGTGATGACAAACACCTGCTGACTCCCGCTGACTGATGATTAGGATACCTCCTCCTCCTCCTCCTCCTCCTCCTCCGCCTGCTCTTACATTAAGGATACATTTCGCAAGGAAAGGAGTGGAACCTGCAGACCACCACCCGCTGAATTAAGTTAAAATGTTAATAAATATGATTATCGTGTTTGCCTGCTGCCGCCTGCTGTTGCCTTGTTGCCATTAAAGTGTTTATGCCAATAAATAATAAAGTGTGTGTGTGTTCCCGAGCAAAAAAGAGGGAGTTAGCACAGGTACGAAAGGTATTTCTGGCGCGTGTATCTCTCTGGGAAAGTATCTTTTCTGGCAACACTTTGATGTGGTCCATGATGAGGCTGACACGTGGCGGTATGCGTAATGAGAGAAAGCTCCTTTGCCATTCAAATGTGAGGGAAATTACTTTTAGCGAAATAATACTTGAGGGTGTGCTGTTTGGAGATTACATTAAAGAGATGCAAGCTCAAAATTCACTCAAAAATCAGTTGCTTTATTAAATGAGTCTAAAAGTAGTTGCTGCAAATATGTACGAGGAATACCAATAAAAATGCCAATAATAAATAAAACCCAAGAGCAAAGAGCAAGAACTTTCATCAACGATATCGCAGCAGCATGAACTCCGCCTTCACTTCATCCACAGGCAAATCCTTGCCTCTCTCTCTCTCTCTCCTCTCTACAAGGCATAATAATTCTTTATTAAAAAATATCTGCACATAAATATTTGCCATGGAATATGAAACAGGAAAGAAATATCTGAGCAGAGCGCGAAAGCGAGGATAAATAGCCAAGTGTGGGAGAGCAGCCATCGGGATGGAAAAGCACAAAAGTTCTGGCTGTAATTTGCAGGAGGCAGCAGCAGGAGACGGCAGGACAGGAGGTTCAAGTCAGCGAAATGAACACTGGCCGGAACTACGGCGTTTTGCGTGCAAACTGACAATTTAAACAAAACAGCAGGCACAAGCAGCACACCCAGCGAGAGGCAGAGAACAAAACAACGGGAAGAACCTTTGGACAAAGATAATAGGATGAAAAAAAAGGCAGAGAAAAAGAATGGCCCTGGGTCCCCTGTAGTCCGGAATGGTCTTGCAACGGAAGGAAGCTCCGGCATTTTCATGCCTGCTTTGCCACTTGCATATTTCATGAGCCGAGAAACAGCTGCAAATTTATGAAGACGAAAATTCCAAAGTGAGCAGCATTGCCATCGCAATCGCCATCGCAATTGAATCTTTGAAGGACTTTCGGGTAAGGCTAAATCACTTCTTTGCTTGCCATCTAATTCTACTCTCATTCGCATTCGATAGAAACACTCGATGATTACTTATTCATTCGTTTTTAGGCATTTGCATTTGCATTTGCATTTGTTATACCCGATTCATATTTCATGGAAACCACTAGGCACACGGGACGCAAACACACAGGACATCGGCTAAGTGCTAAATGAAAGTGAGCTGGTGAAATATTCATTCGGTCGGTTTCCCCTTTGAACTTTCCAAAGAGGCCTCTTAATTCTGAATATATTTACCTACACCTCTCTCGCTCCGGCATAAGATTTTCATGTTTCAAAGGCGTTCAATTTGTTGTTGCTTACCTGCAAAACAGAAAAAAAGGGAAACATGTAATTAGAAAACGTCAACATAATCATCTGGGTATCTGGGCTTAAAGCTCTAACTGATTTATCTCCGCCCGGCGGGAGATCAGGGAAGCTTCTTCCCTTCCTGGCATTTCATTTAGATGCAATTATACCAGCATCACCAGCCCTCTAATGACTTTTAATTAGCGCAGAGATTTGTATACACATATCCACATCAACACAAACTCCCTTCCATGTACGTACACCTGGTGGAAGGTTCATCCTTTGGTCGGTTCTTATCTGGAGACCAGGTTATAGCCCCCCCTCCACATGTGTATTCTGTTTCCTGTGGTGTCTGGACGATATTCTATTTTGTATACCCTGGTAATTGAGGGTGTATTGGGCTTACTTTAATTAATTCTTAATTCTAAACATACTAACAAAATTCTTAAATAAATACCAGAAAAAATAATGTTTAAGCACAATCTTTAGGTACATCTCCATTCCATCTTCCGTTCCCTAAAACTCTGATATTCGTTCTTTTACACAAAGTATTTCGCTTGCCTAATCCCTTCTCTCTGTTTCAGTTTACCTCTCGTTTTTTTCCTCTCTGTTTTCAATGTTCCGTTTCCATTCCATTGCACAAATGACCATAAAAAAGGCCCAAAGCGGAGCCATGTTGTCGGCTCTCTCTCTCTCTCTCTCTCTGCTTGCCTGCTTGGGTTCTAAGGCCGAAAGCTTAATTACCATTACACATTCACACAGAAACACACACAGACATAATCAGCACACATACTCGTACACACTCATTCGTACAAGCAGTTTAGCTCTTGCTCCTTATCTGGCGCTCTGTCTCTATTGTCATTATTATTCATAACTTGGCAGACAGTCGCTTTTATTTATGTTCCCATTTACACAATAGCCTTTGTGCCATGCCATGCCCCCTGCCTTCCACACACACACACACACCATTCTTCCTTTATGACCGCCCCCTAATAGGTGTTAATGTGTTTTATTGTTCTCTCGGCAGCCAGGTGAAGGAGCGAGCAAGCATTGGACTTCTGCACAAATAAATGAACTTGACTTTCTGTGCAATGAGACAGAAATCTTAATGGAATTACAAATCTGTGTGTCCTTTTGGGCAAAGGGGGAAACCCGATTGAAAAGCAGTGCCAACGAGAGAAAAGTGTGAAGATTATAAAGTAGATAAAGAGGACAGAGTGAGCGAGACAGATTAGAAAGTAGAGACTTAATATCTGGCTTGCTCTTTTAGCTACTCTTGGCTCCCATGTGGGTAGCTCGAAAATTTCCCTTCAGTGGAAGACACAAAAATGATTTCGACAAGTGTCAATCTGATGTCGCAATACACTAAAAGTTAAGCAAGTGTCTAGCCCTCTATCTCTCTCACTCTCTCACTAACTATCTTGGCCTCTCTTTCGAAGGGCTCTAGTACATGTGTTAGTGGCAAAAATGCTTTCATTACGCTTCAAGTGGGGAATGCCGAGTGGGCCACTTGACGTTGAACGCGACGACGATGATGTTCAAGCTGATGCCAATGTGTGTGTGTGGCATGTGTGGCCATGAACGAGACATAGAGACAGCAAGAGTGAAAGGGGAGAAGGAAAAGGGGGAGAGAGAAATCATGTGGTCTGTTGTAAGGGCAGCCTAAAACTATGCAAACTATTTTCCACAGACTTTTCGTTTTGTATGCCCTTTCGAGAAGAGTGATTGTGATTTTGACTTTTGCAATAGAAGTTCATCTTTTCGTACATATATTCTTGATCTAGATATCATACACACATATATCTTTCTGAAGAATAAATAAATATTATGAAATATTTTATATATGAAACTTAAAGTGTATCTAATGATTCGTTGGTCGTTTTATTATTTATTTTTGCCATTTTTCCAGTGCCAAAATGACTAAGCAAGCACGTTGTAGGCACCAAGTGCTGAAAGCAGGCTAAGGTCAGCAGCAAGTTCAATACAACACACACACAGGGACACTCTCTGAGGCACACACAGTTGTAACACACACTCTTGCATATACAACTACATAATTGCAGCCGTTGATTGCCATCCGTTTGGGTGCGTCTGCGTCTGCGTTCC